CGCGGCCCAGCACATGCCCCTTGATCCACGGCAGCTGTGGTTCTGGCCCCCTCGCACACACGTCAGCCCACTCATCCTTGGACTTGGAGGCCCCTTCCCCCTTACTCTCGCAGCTCTTTTCTTGCCAACCCCTTTACCCACCACCAAGTCAGCAGCTCTGGATGGAAGGAGGGGCCCGAGGTGGCCGGGGATTGGTGCAGGGCTTGTTGCTTAGCAACCGCATCAGCAGCTGTTTCCCCGCTGAGCCAGGCTGCTCCGAGCCATCACAACAGAGGCCCCATTGGACGACTCAGAGGTTTGGTGGAGAGAGGGCCTTGCTCTGGGCTGGGATCAGGCAGACCCAGATCTCTCTCGGGAGGATCTCAGCCCCCAACTTTAGCTCCCTCTTCCCCGAGGAGCCCAAGCCCCTCCCTCCATGCCTCCTGCTGCTACAGGAAACTCAGAGCTAAGCCTATGCCAATCATGCATTCATTTAGAGCCCAGTGTGCCAATGGTATGACTCACTGTGCACCCATCAGGGCCTCTGGGACCATGGGGGTCACTCGCTCACAGTTGCTTCCCCTCCCCTGAAGTGGCTCTGTGCCCCCTCCTCCCCCCCCAGCCCACAGCACGAAGCCCCACCTTCGAGAGACTGCAACACCCCCGGTGATTTCACGGAGACACAGACTCACGGCCGCACACCCGACAACCCGTTCATCCTCTCTCCTGAGCCCTTCCAGTGCTGTTTTGTCTCCGTTTTTTAATTAGTTCCAGGATTTGGGTGGAGGGAATAAATCACCCACAGAGAGAGCCGGAGCGTTCTCCCAATCAAATGTTTGCTTCCAGCTGCGGGGAGTGAGTGTGTGTGTGGGGGCGGGGGGCGGAGGAGGTGAAGGAAAGGGAACTAGGGAGACCCACAAACCAGAAAGGGGGAGCCAGGCCCTGGCCTCTTCCTGGAAGGCCACTCGCCAGCGTCAGAGCGTGAGGACCGCCCTCCCTGCCCCCACTTCACTGAGTCCCCCTTGACCCCCTGCCAGGCCCTGCAGGCCTGGGGAAACCTGGGGGTGGGGGGAGGCTTCGGCATGTCTTAGGGACAAAGTCGCACCCTTGCCCCTGGGTGCTCTTCCTCCTGAACACACCATTGCCTTTTTCCCTCTCTGGTGCTCTGGACCCCCTTTCTCTGAGACCCCCAAGTTCCCCCTTCTGCACGGTCCCACACAGCCTCCTACCCAAGGGTTCCCTTTTGGGCTTGAGGAAAATCCGTTTCTCTTCACATCCTCCGTCTGCAGGTGGGCGTGGGAGATGTGAGCGGGGCAGGCGGGAAGGCCAGAGCTGAACGCAGGGCCATGAGGAGACCCGGTGGGACTGACAAAGTCCACTGACTCCAGTGAGAAGGATGGCGGAGGGGGTCCCTGGGCTCGCAAGTGGAAGGGTTGGGGGCTGGAAGCTGCTAGCTACAGTGGGCAGATGCCTTCCATCCGCAGCACCCACAGGGTCCCCCCAAGCCCGCCAAGAGCGATCCCTGAGCAGAGCCAAGGCGTAAGCCCCGAGCACTGCTAGGTATGGTGCCCAAACCAAACAACTCCAGGAAGGGGCGGCAAGGTTACCTGGCGACTGGCAGCAGTGGGGGAGGGGAAGATGACCTAGAATGGCGGCCCATCCATTCCAAGAACTCAGGCACCTTGGAAAGGGGTCTGCACGCTTAATAATGCCACGGCAGGGCCTGGCCTGTTGTCAGGGTGGGGAGGGTTGGGAAGGGAGCACGGCCAGTGACGCACTTACCTTTCATGTTGCCCACCCTGGTTCGATCCCTGGCACCTCATATGGTCCCCTGAGCACCGCCAAGAGTGATCCCTGAATACAATCAGGAGTCCCCGAGCACCACCAAATGCACCTCCCCCAGTTCGATGGCAGGTGAGAGGATAAAGGTGGGGTCTGGACACACTCTGGCATCCTGCGCATGGCAACTTGCCTCTCCAAACCCCGTGGGTAGAGTTAGAGGAGGTGCAGGTAAGCGAAATCGGCCCAAGGGAGACAAATACCAGATCCCCACAGAGCACCGCAAGGGTCTCCTGAGCAACACCAGGAGTGCTCCCTGAGCACAGAGCCGGGAGTAAGGCCCGAGCAGCTGATTCTGCTGTGCAGGCTGAGGGGGGCCAGGCAGAAACCTTCAGGAGGGAAACTGAATTTCAATGCACACGAATGACGTCAGCTCTCAGCCTGCCTCCTGCAGACACTGATCTCTGGGAAGGAGGCAGAGCAGGCATGGCAGAAGACAAGAGGGATGAAGGAGAGAGTGAGGGAGAGTGTCCGGAAAGGGGGCGGCCTGCGTGGAAGGCCTGGGGCTGGGCTCTCAGAAACAAATCATTTCTGACAAAAGGGCAGAGTTGGAGAAACACCCCCGCTGCTGAGCTGGATCTATGGGGACTCACATCGCCGTTGCCATGGAAACCAACCCTCTTCCCTCCATGGGCTATGAGCGTCTTTCTTCTCTCCTTGAAAGAGATGGTACCTCATATGCTTCTAGGGGGAGAGAAAAATAATGTGTGTGTGTGTGTGTGTGTGTGTGTGTGTGTGTGTGTGCGCGCGCATACTGGGGTTTATTTCTTTTCTTACCCGATTTCCGCTTCAGATTAGAACCCATCAGAGACGTGAGAAAGGAATCTTCCAGAAAAATGCTCATCTCCCTAAACGTCTGCTCATCTGTGCTCATCTGAAGGGGTGTTGGGGTTCACTCCTCATGACCTCTTTCCCAGGGGCTCCTTAACTCTCTCCATCTCTGCACCCCATGGCCTGAACGGGGAGCTCTGGAGAAGGGAAACAGCTCTGGGGAGTGTCAAGCACACTTGGGGGGGGACAGCCATGGGCTTTGTCTGCCTCCAGCAAGGGGGCTGAGAGGCTCAGGGCTAGTGAATAAAGTAACTGTCAGAAGGAGCCTGTGGTGGTGGTGGTGGGGAGCTGGACCCCCACAGGCGCTGTTCGAGGATCACTTCCTGCCCTGCCCTGACAGCCAGCAGCACCACACACCCTAGGAGCTGGCTCAAAGGGCTGGGGGTGGCACGTAGGACCATCCATCCCCGGCACCACAGGACTCCCTGAGCACTGCTACCACCAGGTGGGACCCGAAAGAGAAACCAAAGCCAGGGCAGTGGTCCCGGGCCAAAGCCCCTTCTGGACGGGCTGTCCCCCACCCCACACCCCTGGGAGGAGCCTGGTTCTGCCGCGGCTAGGGAGAGAGTGGGGGTAGTGTTCCCCACCCGGCAGGACTCGGAAGGAGGGGCTGGGCACTGGGGGGCCCGGAGGGGGTTGTCTAAGGGCTCCTTGTCTTCACATGTGCCCAGGAGCCATCTCCAGGCCAAGAGGGGTTGGGCTGGATTTCAAAGAACAGTGGGGGGTCGTACAGGCTGAGGAGGGGTGCCTTCACAGGGCAGTCTTTCCACCTGTCCATGGGGTCAAGGGCGCTGCCACTGGCCACAGCTCACAGAAGCCTTGCATGAGCGGGAGAGGGGTTCGTGGCTCATCACCCCCCCACGCTGCTGGCCTGACCCCACCACCATCGCCTTGTGGTGCTCTCAGTCTACCTTTCGGCCCCCACTGATTTCAGGGGTCAATCCCCCGAATGCATTTCTGGCCCCCGTGTCATTCCCGGGCCCTGGGAGTGGCGGAGCCCCGAGGAGGAGGACCCTCACCTCCCAATTCCAGCCCTAGCTGAAGAGGACACACGCAGACTCCCCCATCTCACCCCCACCCCGCCCCACTCCCCCAATATTGGCACCCCCAGCCGGCCCCAGGCGGACGAGCAAGCCAGGCTCTCAGACACGTCTATCTTTATTGGTGCCCTGCCCGAGAAGTTCAAGAATCACACCGAGAGAGACTCAGTCTCAGCTACCTACTGACGAAAGTTACAACCACAGAATTCGAAAGCGCTCGGCAGTTGGGGGGGGGGGGGTGGACGGGGCGGAGTGGGGGTGGGGAGCGGGGAAGGGGATGGACGGATGGACGGACAGACGGTTTGCTGTTCTGCCTTGGAAGCCCAATGGATTTACAGGTGACTGCTGGCCAGGAAGGGCGAGAAGCAGGTGAGGAGAGCGTCCGACAGCTGGGGTAACAGCAAGCCACCAATGCTCTGTGTGTGGACACGTGGGGGCCCCTCCATTTGCCTGAGCCACCGAGTGACCCTCAGGGAGGTGGGTGGGTGCAGGCAGCAAGGGCTTCTACGAGCTGAGCTAGGAGCTGGGGCAGAGAAGGGTCTGTTCTCTGGCACTCGGGGGCGTGGGGGTGCCTGCCTGTTCTGCCTTCTCCCTGCGGCCCCCCTTTTCCTTTCCTGTCTCCCCTTGCCCGGCACCTGCATATGGACAGTCTCGCATGGGGCTGGGGGACACCCTAGAAACGCAAGAATAAAAGACGGAGAAAGTCTGACAGTCTGTCCTTCCACCTCACACTCATCTCTGCTGATCGAGGATCAGTCACACCTGGGGGAAGCCCCGGGTCCTGGGAGCCTGCTCTGCCGCCCACCTATAGGCCAGGTCATGCCAATGCCCACAGCGGGGCCTTCCTCTGGAGACCATGCACCCCTCGGGTGGCCCCTGGCCCCCAGGCCCCTGCTGGCCTGTCTGAGGGGGTCTGACCAGCCCCTGCACCCACACAACCCCCCTGTGGCCCACAGACTGTCCTTTCCCCTCCTCCCGGGCAGCCAGGGTCCCCTCAGCGGGGTCTGTGGGGGCGGGGGCTGGGGACTCAGGTTTGGGGGGCTCCTCCTCTTTCCAGTACCTAAGGAAGGTGGAGCAGCGGCGTGGTGAGATTATTTTATGTGGGAACAATCAACGGGAAACATGCCTTTGTACACGCGCCCGACTTGGGGACCAAAAGGGGAAAAAAAAGAGGGGTTCTGACAACTCCAGTGCACGTGGGTCGCGCCCGCCCCGCCTCCCGCCCGCCCGCCCGCCCCCAACTGCCTGCACCCCCGGGGGGCAGTGCCGGCCTGTCACTGGAGTTTGGCGGCCGGCGTGGGGGGCCCCTCTCCGCCGCCTCCCCCGCCCCCCACTACCAGGATGGCCTCTAGTGGCCCTGGGTCTTGGGCGGCTTGGGCTCGTGGATGACGGCGGCGGCCGAGAGCCAGGGCCCGATGGCCCGCGCGGTGCTCTGCTTGGCCACGCTGTAGTGGCTGATGACCGTGTAGAAGCGGCTCCGGGAGCTGGGGTCCTGCGCCGAGTAGTAGGCGTCCAGGGAGGCCGGGATGCAGCGCTTGTGCTGGGAAGCAGCAGGGCACGGGGTGAGGGGAGCTCGCACCACCCCTGCACCCGCCGGCCCACCCCACCCGCGAGCAGCATTCACGCCCCAAGAAACTGCCTGCTTTCCTTTGGGGGCCAGCCTGGCCGCGCTCGGGGCTTATTCGCACCTCAGGGATCAGCTCTGGGGTCGCTGGGGGGAACCCGTGTGGCTCTGGGGGTTGAGCCTGGTCAGCCGTGAGCAAGGCAATGCCCTCACCCCCACCCTATCTCACTGGAGCCCTGGATACATTTTTTTTTTTTAGATCTTGGTTTTTGGGCCACACCTGGTGGTGCTCAGCTCTTACTCCCGGCTCTGTGCTCGGGGCTGACTCCTGGCTCCGTGCTCAGGGCTGACTCCTGCTCTGTGCTCAGGGATGACTCCTGGCTCTATGCTCAGGGTTCACTCCCGGCTCTGTGCTCGGGGCCGACTCCTGACCTGCTGTCCTTGCTCTCTGACCCAACACATCACATTTTCCACCGTCCGTAGGAGGGACCATCCGCCCCCCAACACCAAACCTGGACCCCAAGGAGGACTGAATCCCACCCCTTCCTTACCTTGTAGACAAAGCCCTCTGGGCAGCTGTGGTCGTAGGTGAAGGCTTTATAAACCACCAAGAACACGATGCAGGCAAGGAAGGCCAGCGCCAGGCTGACGAGGATGGTGACCTGGAGGAGAGCAAACCCTGAGTCAGAGCCCCCGCGCCCCCCACGCCCCACTGCAGCCCTCCAGGCCCTTCCATCCTGGCACGGCGGCCAGAGTGCAGAGGGAGCCCGGGAGCTCGGCGGTCCCTCAGGTGGAGTGTGGTCCTGAGCATGGCCCTGCCGTCCTTGGGCCTCAGTTTCCCCCATGTTCCTGAGGCTCTGGGAGGCATCTTCTGAGCCCCTCTGGGGCTGCCCTCTTCTCCTGCGTCCTGTTAACTCTGGGGGTGCTCGTGAAGCACCACTTCCATGTGGTTCCCTCCATTCCCCCTCCACTATCACCCAGGAACTCGCTGAACCAACCACAGCCACACACGCCTTAGGCCCACCCCAAATCAGCTCCACCTGCTTTCCCCCCATATTTTGCAGTTACTAGGCCAAAAGAAAAGTCAGGGTTTCGTTTGGGGGGGGGGGCAAACCCAGTGATGCTCAGGGCTGACTTCTGACTCTGTGCTCATGGATCACTCCTGGTGGGGCTCGGGGGACCCTGTGAGGTGCCAGGGATTGAGCCTGTGTCAGCTGCGTACAAGGCAAACGCCTTTCCTGCTGTTACTGCTCTGGTCCCACGCCCCTTCCACGCGTCTCCCCCTTTCCTCCCTCATTTCCCTTCGTCAGGCGGCGGTGCTGACACGCTCCGTCGTGAGGCCTGCTGGGGCTTACACTCCGTTAGAGCTGCTCGTGCCTGGGACACGCCAGGTGCACCAGCGCCTCCTGAGCCATGCTCCTGGCCACAGTGCTCAAACCTATTTCCCGTCAGCTGCAGCACTCACTGCGGGGAGGCATGGAGGGCCCCTCACAGTGGTGGGCCCCCTGACGGCTGGGCTACCAGTAATGTGCTCAGCATGTGGGGGCACCAGAGGTTGAACTCCAAGCTTCATGCTTATGAGGGAGGAGCCTTAGCTATGGGACCTTGTTGTGGCCAGTCCAGGAGACACCCATGACACTCAGGGCCAGCAGCAGCGGCGCTCTAAGAAGCATGCGGGGCCCTGTCCCTTCTTGGCAGCTGCATCCCCGAGGGCATAGCATGACTCGGACGAGGTCCTGGGGTCCGGGAAGGAGAGTCTGGGGGGAGACTGCAGCTCTCGGGCCACTGCCGCCCAGTATGAACGAGTCTGCAGCCTCCGACCAACACTGACTGGCCACAGTGCCAGGAAGCAGAACTTACCCTGGAAAGTGATTCTAATAAAGATCCGTCACAGCAGACATGGGACCCAGGGGCCGGGAGGCACCCCCCCCCCACCCCTCTCCTGCCAGGCCAGGACGCAGATCTGAGACCCTGTTCCCAGGCCAGGGAACAGGTTCCTCCTGAGCACCAGCCTCCTGGGGCTCCCATAAAGCCGCCCTTCCAGTGAAGGGTGTGGCTCCCAGGGCAGGCGTCCACCTTTCCCGTCCGAGACAGAATGAAGCTTCCAGCTCAGCGCCAAAGCCGCCGAGCAGAGTGGGCTCGAGTGGAGAGAGAGAGACCTGGCACACCATGACCCTGGGCAGCCTGGCCCCCGGGATCCCCTTGCCCGCAACCCTGAGCTGGACAGGACCATTCAGGATCCAGCTGTCTAGTGGGATGACCAGCCGGACACTTACTGGCGCGGGGTGGGGCCTGGGCAAGTGGCTCGCCCTCTGAAAGCTTTTGCTGAGTTCTCTCCCAAACCACCTGCCAGCACCCGTCTCCATGGAGACGCAGCGTCTCCGCAGCCCAGATAGCTCATTCTATTGAGCTACTTTCATTCCTCAATCCCCTTTCTTGGCAGAAGACTTGATAAAAGAAAAAAAAAAGAATCAGGTCAGCCAAATGGGCTTGGAAAATTTGAAATCCTCTCCTCCCAGTGCCAGCGTGTGGCCAGCAGAGGGGCCGAGGACTGCACCCGCCAGCCCCCCAAGGACGTCCCTTTCCAGCTACAAAGAAGAAATGATCCCCGCCAAGCCCACAATGGCACCCCACCTGCTAACACAGAAGGAAGGAGCTGAAGCCTCACTTCTATCTTTCCAGCCCCCCAACCCCCAGACACTGCCCAGCAGGGTGGGGTGGGGGGCTTGCAGAGGAAAGAGGTTGAAGGAGAAAGTTGGCAGCACCGGCCAGCCTTGCCCTGGGACCCTGGGCGTGGGGAGCACTTCACCATTCCCAGAACTGGGGGGTTCCTTCGTGAGGCCCAAGCGGACAGACCAGCTGATTTCTTTCCCCTTCTTTCCTCACTGCATAACGCCAGGGGTGAAAGCCGCAGCCCAGGCCTGTGATCCCTGAGCAGAGAGGAGTGACCCCTGAGCACCGCTGGGTGTGGCTCCCAATTCAAACCCCCCAAAAGAAAACCTGAAGCTCCCTCCCCAGGAAGGCAGCCCAGAGACCGACCCCTTCTGCTGCCTCTGCCAGGGCTGCAACTGGGCCTGGATGCTTGGTGGCGAGCCAAAGGTTCTTCTCTTCCCTCAATGGCCTTCACGCCCAGTGGAGGCCCCTCCCCAGATCCTTAAAGGGACGCCCATTCTCTAGGGTCTCCCCAGGAATCCTGTGAAGTAGTAAAGTGCATTAGAGAAGAGCCTCAAACTTGTATATAAGCAATAATTCAAGCACCTCTTTCACACCAGAGACAGATGCAGTGGTGTGCATGTGTGTGCGTGTGTGTACATGTGTTTGTGTGTGTGTGCATGTGCACGGGCATGTGTGTGTGTGCGTGTGTCTCATTGCGATCCTGATGGGAGCCAGGAGTTCATTAATATTTGCAGGGCCCTTGAAAGAGAAAAAGCAGGCTTTAAGTGGGAATGTTCCACTGCGATAACTCATTCTCCAATTTAATTTGTTACTGGCATCATCACTGGGGAGACGGGGTGCAGCTGGTGTAGGAGATACATCTCTGGTTTCCTGCAGCAGGTTGATGGGAAGGGCTGGGGCCACTGTTCAACTTGGATCTGGGGTGCGAGGGGCTGCCCTGGGCATTTAGAAGCCAATCTATTCTCAAGGAAATGCAACATGTGTATTGAGCCCTGAGCCCTGAGAAGGGACTATAGCCCCACGTGGCCCTAACCATGCGCCGAGGGACCCCAGGCACTAGCTGCTGTGCCCCTCCCCCCAAAATTAGAGAACTGGGCTCCTTCTGGCGTTCCAAGTCCAGACTCGGAGGAGAAAGACAAACGCAGGTGCAGGCGGCTCTGCGGAACATGGCGGTGGGGGGCGGGGGGGGGGGGCGCTGGGACAAAGCTCTTCCCTGGCTCTCTCCCCAGAGGAAGTGGTTACAAGATGCCCCCGTCACAGGGCAGCTGGGAAGGCCATCTGGGACCCCGAAGCACCTGCTCCCAGGTCCCCTTCCATGCCTGTCTGGAGCCCTGCCCCGCCCCCTTCTCGAAGGCGGTGTGTGGCATTTCTCTGCGAGGTCCGAAGGCTGCTCGGCTGCTCACAAGGCATCAAAGGCAGCCTCCAGCGGGGCAGAGCAGGCGTCCGGCCTCATGAGGGGCAGGTGGCTGGACAGTTGAGGGAGCCCAGCTGGGGCCCCCGTTTGCAATCCGCTTGGAAATAAAGGGAGCCCCAGAAGAGGGCTGTGGCCTGACAGGGGCGCCATCCTGTCACGCTTTCCCCACTGGCTCCCACGGGCCAGAAAGGCAATTGATTTTCTTGGCGTATTTTAAAGGACAATTTCCCCCGGGTTCCCTGGAGAACTGGAAGGTAGGAAAAGCTCATTCCTCTTGAAGCCAGGGAACCCCAAGACGCATCATTCCTGATCAGAGACTCTGGGGGGAGCAGGCTAAGCCCAGAAGCTCGGGATGTGGGTGTGACACAGACCCCAGTGGAGGGGAGGCTTCCCCAAGTAGGGGAGAGGAAAACGGTACTGGGGAATGCAGGGGGAGGCTTGAGGGAAGGGCTGGCGCCTGCCTGGAAAGGATGGCGAGGGGAGGGGTGCTCCAGGCAGAAAGGGCAGCTGCAGCAGCCGCCTCAAGGTTTCCTGAACACTGCTGAGAATAACCTACAGTCTCTGAACTGTGCACGCACACACACACACACACACACACACACACACACACACACACACCACTTTGGAAATTTGGCTGGAGATGGAACTAGAGGGGGTGAGATTTCAGACCTGAAGCAGCCAGCATTCCATGAGCTAGGGGTCTCTGCTGCTGAGCTGTTGGCTGAGAAGAACAGACCAGATTTACAGATTTACTGGGTACTACCTAGGTTGAGCTCTTACCGGAACTGCCAATTTCGTTCCTTTTTTTTCTTTTTTTTTTTTTTGCCCAAAAGTGTGTGAGACCCGTATGTGAAGCTTAAAACAACCTGTGGAGCTGAAGAAACAGTTACAGGGGTTAAGGGAGCAAGGCCAGGTTCCATCCCCAGCACCCCACAGGGTCCCCTGAGTCTGCCAGGAGTGACCCCTCAGTGCAGACCAAAGATAAACTCTGAGTACCACTTTTTGGCGCTGGTATTACTAAGATCATAGGGTATGATGACAATGGGGTTGTTACTCAGTGAAATACAGCAGCGCCTCTAGTATCACCAGATGTGGGCAGTTGCTCTAGAGACCATAGGACCAGCGTCAGACACGGAGTGAGTGGGTGCCCCATCCCTGTGGGCTGCGCTGAGGAGATGCTGAACCCAGATGCAGGAATGGGACAGTGTGACCCAAGGTGATGGCTACAGGCAAAGCCAGACTCTAGGAAGACTCAAGGACAAATGGTGGCACTTTGGAAGCAGATGCTCATGGATGGAGTTGGAGACACAGGTCAACAACAACATCCTGGGGACATCCGCGATGGCTACCCCTGCATTCACCCTGGGACATGGGAGCTCCTCTATTAATCTGTGACAGACTGGGGCCACCTTGGAAAAAGCAGCCGAAGGCCACTGCCGTGAAGAATGGGATAAGCAAGTATTTTACTGTGTGGCCTCAAAACCTTTCACAGGGTGGCTTTCACAGATGGCTCTCTCTGCTCATCTATTCTTCCCTACCTATTGAAAACTACCTACCTTGCCAATGACAGTAAACAAGGAGACTGGATCCAAAACCCTGTATTTATCTACTCTCCAAACTTCCTAGAAGATAGAGAAAGAAAAAGCATGGAGGCAGGCAGTGAGATAGTACAGCGGGGAGGGCACCTGCCTTGCACACAGCTGATCTGGGTTTGCTCCCCAGAACCACAGAGGGTCCCCTGAGCTCCTCAGGGAGTGAGCCCTGAGCACTGCCGGGTTTGGTCACCCCCACCAAAGGAAAAAAGAAAATGCATGTTCCTTTTACAAAACTCAATATAAATGTGACATTATACCCAACCCAGACAATATAGACACACCCAGAAACGTAATATTAGTAAAGTGAAAGTTACAAAAGGAGCACATGAAGTAGAAATGTCATTTAGCAAGCGGCATTCAGGGAGATGGCCAGGCCTGAAGAACCCCATGTGGAGTGGCACTTGAAGGTATAGACAGGCAGGTCTCCTGGCTCTGTATTTTTGACACCAACAGGGTAGTGTCAAACCACAGAATCCTTCCTGCAGGGGACAAGGTTTCTGGGTGCTTAGCTGTCTTCAGGGGAGTATGAGATGCAAGGAAAGCACAGCTCTCAAAGCACTCGCCAATGCAATTAGGCAGGAAAGTGACATCAGGAGCCTGAAACCAGAAAGAGAAACCGACACAAGAAAAGCAACTGTTCAACAAGGAAAGCATGGTTAACATTATGGGCCGGCACTATGATCATATATACTGAAGTCCAAAGGGATCAATTTTTGTTAAACTTTATCAGATAAGGGAAGTTGGGTGCCTGGTGGCAAACAGATGGAGAGAATTCAAAAGCATTTTTATTAAGTACAAATAATCACCATTGCAACAAAAAAGTAATGAAAGAAAAGGTCCCTTTGGTAGCCTCAACCCCCAAAATAGTCAGTTAGATCTTTTGAAGTAAATTGAATAAGAACTGCAGAGTTCATTTTTTAGAAACTCAACAGAGAGCATTGAAAGAAGACATTGGCAGATGCAAAGTTCAACCCTGTTTCCAGGGAGACAAGATGGAAAGAGGGAACTTTCCTTCAAATTAGTCTCTGAATTTATGTAATCCAAATGGAAGAGGAGTAGAAGTTTGGGGAAAACTTAAGAAAAGAATATCAGTATTTATCTGGAAAATCCAGTCACCAGGAATGGGTTGGAGTTGTTGAGAGAGGGTTGGCGGGCTGGCGTGGGCCTGAGGATGCGTTTCTGACGTATTCCCACACTGGCCGTCCAGGTAACATGGCGTTTCCACACCCAGCGATCACCAGACGGTGCATGAAGAGTGCAGGAGTGAAACAAGACTGTGGGGGAGGAGCCAGGGGATGGCTCAGGGGCAAGAGTGCAGGCGCTCACTGGCCGAGCAAGTGAAAACAGAGATAGATAAATAGGACTATCTTAAACTAAGAAGCTTCTGCACCTCCAAAGAAATAGCACAGCGGTAGGGCGTTCGCCTTACAAGCGGCCAACATGGCCAACCCGAGTTCGATTCCTCCGCCCCTCTCGGAGAGCCCGGCAAGCTACCGAGAGTATTCCGTATGCCAGACACAGTAACAACAAAGTCTCCAATGGAGACGTTACTGGGCCCGCTCGAGCACCAAAGAAATAGTGACCAAAATACAAAGACAGTCTACAGAATGGGAAAGGATATTTGCCGAATACACATCTGACAAGGGGTTGATATCCAGGATATACAAGATACTGGTTAAACTCCACAAGAAGAAAACATCCAACCCCATCCAAAAATGGGGCAATGAAATGAACAGAAACTTTCTCAAAGAAGAAATCCGAATGGCAAAAAAGCACATGAGAAAATGCTCTACATCATTAATCATCAGGGAGATGCAGATCAAAACCACAATGAGATACCATCTCACACCTCAGAGACTGGCCGACATTCAAAAGAACAAAAGCAACCGATGCTGGCGCGGATGTGGCGAGAAAGGGACACTCCTTCACTGTTGGTGGGAATGTCGACTGGTTCAGCCCTTCTGGAAAACAGTATGGACGATTCTCAAAAAATTAGAAATTGAACTCCCATTTGACCCAGAAATACCACTCCTGGGAATATATCCCAGAGAGGCAAAAATGTATAGTCGAAGTGACATCTGCACTTGTTTGTTCATTGAAGCACTCTTTACAATAGCCAGAATCTGGAAAAAAACCTGAGTGCCCAAGAACAGAAGACTGGTTAAAGAAACTTTGGTACATCTACACAATGGAGTACTATGTAGCTCTTAGAAAAGATGAAGTCATGAAATTTACATACAAGTGGTACAAGTATCATGGAAAGTATCATGCTAAGCGAAATGAGTCAGAAAGAGAGGGATAGACATAGAAAGATTGCATTCATCTGGGGGATATAAAGTAACAAAGTATGAGATTAATACCCAAGAATAGCTGAGATCAGCACCAGGAGGATTACTCCATAACTTAGAGGCCAGCCGGGTATCCTAGAGGAAAGGGCAGTTCAGATAGAGAAGGGAGCACCAAATAAAGGGTGTTTGGAGGATCCTCCCAGGAGGGGAGATGCATGTTGAAAGTAGACTATGGACTGAACATGTTTGCCACTCAAAGTCTCTTTTGCAGACCACAACACCCAAAAGGAGAGAGAGAACACAGGGGATTGCCCTGCCACAGAGGCAGGGGGAGATGGGGGGATGGGGGTGGGGGGGATATTATCCATGGTGGTGGAAAATGGGCACTGGTGGAGGGATGGGTATCTGATCACTGTATAATTGAAACCCAAGCACAAAAAAATTGTAAATCTACAACTGTACCTCATGGTGTTTCACTAAGGTAAAGGTAAAGGTAAAGGCCCTCCCATTGTTCGTCGATTTGCTTGAGCGGGCCCAGTAACGTCTCCATTGGAGACTTTGTTGTTACCATGTTTGGCATATCGAATACGTCACGGGGAGCTTGCCAGGCTCTGCCATGCAGGCGAGATACTCTCGGTAGCTTGCCGGGCTCTCCGAGAGGGGCGGAGGAATCAAACTCGGGTCGGCCATGTTGGCCGCTTATAAGGCGAATGCCCTACCGCTGTGCTATCGCTCCAGCCCTCTAATAAAAGGTAAGGTAAGGTAAAGGCCCTCCCGTTGATCGTCGATTTGCTCGAGCGGGCCCAGTAACGTCTCCATTGGAGACTTTGTTGTTACTGTGTCTGGCATATCGAATACTCTCGGTAGCTTGCCGGGCTCTCCGAGAGGGGCGGAGGAACCGAACTCGGGTCGGCCATGTTGGCCGCGTGTAAGGCGAACGCCCTACCCGCTGTGCTGTCGCTCCAGCCCTCTAATAAAAAAAAAAAAAAAGGAAAAAAAAAGAGTGCAGGTGCTGCGGGCACCGCACGGACCCCCACGCGCCACTGGAGAGTGACCCACAGCACGGCCAGGTTCACGCCCCAGTCAGAAAATAATGAATTGAAGAAACCTGGGAAGGCTGTGTCTGAAAGAGGGGCCTCCCAAGCCAGCGAGAAAAAGGGCTGACGGAAGATCATACACCAGTGAGCAAACTGTCCTTAACACGAACATCGCCCTCTACCTTATTACCCCCTTATTCTGGGAAATTTCAGATGGGTTAATTTAAACCCACCTCCCCAAAAAATCTTAAAAGTACTAGAAAAAACCCATGGGTTTAGGCTGGAAGAAGACCTCAGCCTGTCCAGAGCCAAAGGTATCAGCGTTTCCCTCCGTGCCCCCTGCAATTAGCCAGGAAAAGCTCGAGCAACAGGGGCTGGGTGGGGCCCTGCCCTTGCACGCGGCCGACCCCGCTTCCATCCCGGGCACCTCACGGGGACCCTGCACATTGCTGGAGATCGCTCCTGAGCACCATCAGGTATACCCGCCCCTCCCCAACAGTCAGTTAAATAAAATGAAAAGCGTTCCATCCAAAGTAAGGAAACATACCGTTTTTAAAAATATGTTTGGACTAAAGAGATTGCACAGTGGGTAGGAGGGTGCTTGACTTGCATGTCATCCCCCAAGCCTCTCCAGAAGTGATTCCTGAGCACAGGGACAGGAGGAAGCCCTGAGGGCAACCCTCTGCTCACTCGGCTGGGCTGCGCCCCTCCTTTCCTTCTTCCTGGGCAGAGCTGGAGGCTTGCTGCAGGGCCTTTGCACCAGCTCTCTCTCCTAGCAGAAAAGTCCCAAGTGACTGGACTCAACCCCACTTCCCTTTTCAGTGCCTCATTCCATCCTTATCCCCCCTGAGCCCCCGTCTACCTCCGTCATGCCACTCTTCCCCGAGACCCAGAGCTTTCCATGCTCCTTAGGACCCTTCCAGCTGGAAACAGAATGCCACAGGCAGTGAAGTCCCAAGAAGTCAGCTATTCTAGCCCTTTCTTCTTGCAACCACCATCACCTGCTCTTCCCGCAAAGGAAAAAAATCACGCCTGCACTTCCCGCCCCTTTCCTGGTGGGGCGGTTGAAGGAGAGGGGCAAGAAGGGGATGGAGGAGGAAGACAGGAGATGCGGTTCTCTTTTGGCGTGAGTTGAATTGCTGGGGACTGAGCCCAGGGCGTCTTGTGTCTAGCCCACTGCTGAGCCCCTCCCTGGCCAGGAGAGGTGGTTGCCCCTCGGGTCCGGTTGCAGGGAGGACCTTTCCAGGGGCGTGGGGACCACTCTGGCTCTCCCTGGGGTGCCTGAGAGGCCAGAGGTACCAGAGATCATACCAGGTCACCTGCATGCCTGGGCCTTTGTGCTTCTCCCTGGCCTGGTGACATTTCTCAGTGGCGACATTCCCCCAGCCTTTGGGGCCAGAGGAGAGTGTCAGCAGTCCCCAAGAGGCCGGCTCTGTGATTCCATTAGATTTGGTGACCCAGACAGTGTGGCCTCGAGAAATCCACTAAAAATAGCTGCTGTTCTTTTCCACTTGCCAGTGGCACCTGCCACCCGGCACCGGGGGCGCCGCTGGCCGAGGCCAGCCTCACCTTTACTCTCTCACACCGTCAAGAAACTGACCGTAAATTCGGCGATTTTCGGCACCCGGAACCTCCCTTTGTTCTTCTGCTCAGGTTGATATTCCGTCCTTGTCTTCACAATCACCTGAAATGTTCAACCAGTGTCAGCGCACAGGAGACCTCCCTCCGTCCCTCCCTCCCTCCCTCCCTCTCTCCCTCCCTCTCATTATACATCTTATTATACATCACTGAGAGCAGACCGATCATCCCCCTTTCAGGAAAAAAAATCTCTTAGCAACCTTTCTTTAAGCAAACAAAGTAAAACAGCCCCTTTGATTCCCCCAATGGTACTTGAGGTTATAACTGTCCCCTAGAACATTCCAGCAGCCCTGGGGATGGGGGCTGACAATGAGCACTTTGGGAAAACGTTGGTCAAGAGATTAGAAAATCAAGATCCAGCCCTTTCAAACGCTACCAGGAAACAGAAGTGTCTGAAACGACCTGGAATAGTTCTTTGGCCCCACAGATACAACCCAAGGGCTTATTTGGGTCACCCATTTCCAGGTGTCTGTTTTTGTTGTTGTGTTGTTTGGGGGCCACCCCTGGTGGTGCTTAGGGCTTACTCCTGGCTCTGCACTCAGAGTGGATACGGAGGATAGGACCTGGGTTGGCCACATGCAAGGCAGGTGCCTGACCATTGCCCCGGCCCCTCCACATGGCTTTCATGGCCAGGTAGGAACCATCTGCACTGTCTGCAAACACTGACTTCCTATTCCTGGGATGGGCTGAGAATGATAACCCGCATGATCCCACCGGGGATTTTCACACGGAAGGCAAAGACGGTTTTGTCAGGAGGTTTGGAGTGGCTGAAATGTCATCACTGGCAGAGACCACGACTGTCTCCTGTGCTGAGCAATGTGGTGCACTTCCCCCAGCCTCTTTGCAAATACTTGGCCTTCCAACCCACAGAGGGCCTTGCTGCGAGCAGAGCAACAGGGGCTGTGGGGCCTGCTGCAGGGTCTTCTCTTTCCCAAAGCCTAAAGCCTCTGCAGAGGCTGTTCGCATCACACCAAGCTACGCCGTGAGCCTGCCAAGACATATATAGTGTGCCAGCCTACTGTGTAGGCAGCGTGGGAGGAGGAAAATAAGCCTGACAGATCGTCAATAACTATCACCGAGTCTCTTGTGTCATGGGAATCCAGAAACTACCTGAGATCTAGGGAGAGGGGGGCGCCTGCCTGCAAAATACGGACTGTGATCTGAACCCCACGTGAAAGGGCTTTCTGGAGGGCTAATGGGTACTGCGCTGAGGCTCCAGATGGAGCAAGTGCTTCAGACACCTTCGTGACACCCCAGCACCGTGCCCTTCTCCTCTCCAGGGAAATGAGTTGAGAGATGCCGAATCACTTGGCCCTGGCCACAGCTCAGAGGGAGAAACTGTCCCGGGGACCCCCCTGCACCTTTTGGAGCTTAGCATGGACAGAATTCTCACTGAAAACCCCCACTGTGTTTTGCTAAAGACGTCAGTCAGGGTATGTTTTCCTCGAGAAGCTTCTGACAGGTCTGTGAGAACTGAGAACCACCCTTGCTGCGTGCAGTTTGCAGAGGAGGGGAGGGAGGAAGGGGACATGCGTGAGGGAAGATGAGACCCACGTGCATCCCCTCTTGCGCATGCTCCGCAGGAAGGCTCTGGGTCCCACCCCTCGAGAACATGTTCCCACACACATATGGAGAACCCACTTGCAGACATGAAGCCTGCTCTCACAGCTCCTTTCCCTTCCTGCAATCTGCTCCTGCGAACAGCCAGAAAGAAAGCGCAGCTTCTCCCAGAGGGAAACTGCAGCCAAAGAGGGCAGGGGGCCGGGGAGGGGAGGGATCTGGGAGAGGGGAATGGTCCAGTCTCTTCATTTTCTCCTTCCTATTACAGAGTAGCCTCTTTGCCCTAGGAAATTTAAAAAAAAACTCATACTTGGTGTGAATAAAAATGAAACTATTTTTATATTTATAAAACAAAATATTTTATATTGTTATATAGTGGAATGTTGTAGCAATTAATATACACTACATATTACATAATAAGTACGACTGTATTTGATAATGTGCAATAAAATGATGTATATAAAATAAAATGAAGACAATTCTCACACGTGAGGGTGGCACAGCGTCTGTGGGGTTGTTCTCAGCTGTGGGGCACATAGTGGTATGGTCCATCCTGTAAGGAATCTGAGTGCGAGGGCTGGTTCAAATGCCAGCTCCGTCTCTGAGCCCTCTGTGGCTCAGTGCTCTCACTGACCAAACCCGCTCGCGGAACTGCGTAGGGTTGGAGTGAGTTCGCAGCCCAGGCACCCACCATTCCGTCAGTCACCAGTGAGTCCTCCCGATTTCCTGCATAGATGTTCAGGTGGCTGTGAAACTGGTCTCACCGGCATGTCTCAGCCGGGGTTCTGCCTAGTCAACCCGAATAAGGCTGTTCCCGGGCTCCTGACCTTGTCTGGGGGAAAGGAGGAAGGGTTCTGACGGGTGAACAGACAAAGGAGCCAAGGGAAGCCCACGGCTGCGGCACAGAGCGCAGGGCCAAAGCAAGGACGCAGGCATTCCACGTTTCTCCACGTGACACAGCCACGGAGTGCCCGCCCACGCATGTGCGTGAGAGGGCAAATCCCCGAGCTCCGCCCTAGGCAGGGGCTTTCTTTGGCCAAGTGCTGCCTTGCCACATTCTCCCGAGGTCAAGGAATGCGGCAAGCATTTTACAGCTCGTGGTGTCCAGGCATGTTTGACGGTCGCCAGGCTGAGTGCCAGGCTACAAGGGGGCACAGAGCACCGCAGGTCTGCTCCTTTTTCTACACTCACGAACTGGCATTCAGCCTTCCCCACGTCACACATCTGTACGGCAGAACCTCCTCCACTGATGTCCTTGATTCAATGTGGTGCCAACACGGCATTGGGGACGGGGGAAAATCATTCCCAGGACAACGGTTAGGCTGGTTTTAAGTCCTGGTACCACCTGGACCCCCCCAGAGCACTGTCTGGGGAGGCCGAGAGAATACTGGGGCTTCCGGTATCCTTAGGCCCGTGTTCTGAACTTCCACCCTGGTTGGCTCCTAGACACCAGGGAGATATTCATAGGCTGGAGCATATACAGGAGCACCGGTTTGATCCCCAGCACTGAGCACGGAGCTGAGAGCATTCCCAAAGCACTGCTGAGTGTGGCCCCCAAATAAACACAAGCCAAACCAAACCGTTCTCAGCTGGGGCCCCCAGATTGTGTGGTGTGGACATGGGGCCCAGCATGCCATGTCTGCGTGGGTTTCCTCTGGGGATCCAAGTTCCCTTCCAGCTCCCAGATCAGCATGTGAGGGTTAGTGGCGGGTCTTGGGGTCCCTGTGGCCATTCACTGCCACTCGGATCACTGGACAGTGTTTGTCTCAGACTGGGGTTGCCTCTGTCCACCCAAGCCCTGGATCACCCCAGCCTCTCCATGGTCTTCCTGACAAATCCCAGCTCAAAGAGCCGCTGTGTCCCCACCGTGCCTCGTGCCACATGAGAACGCCCCACACCCAGCCTTCCCCTCATTTCCTCTCCCAGCTCCCATCTCCTCCATGATGGCCACAGCAGCCCTCCCCCAATCCCCTCTGCAGGGCTGCGTCCCTCACCAGAAGGTGTTCTACTGGCCTCGCCACCTCTGTTCTGTTCTGGACTCCCCCCAAACCCAGGGGAAAGCGCTTTGGAGGGGGAGGGGGACCATGTGCGGGTCAGTAAACACCTGCAAATGGGCCCGCAGGGGCATCCATGAGGTTGGCAGAGGGCACGGGCAGGCGCTAAGACAGGTAGAGGACAGGGGTTCCCCGAAACCGCCTGAAAACTAACTGAGACGAAGGAACTGGGGGAAGGCCGGCCTGCCAGTTGGGCGCCACAGGGAGAAGTGGGGGTATCGCCCTCCAAGATCCTAAACCCAACCAGCTCTTTTACTTGGGAGCTTCACGGAGTGTTCTGATGCCCACCCCTTCTACAAAAGGAGACATAGTAACAGTTCCCCACTTTTATTTTTGCAGTAGAAAGTGAAATGAGAAACGGTAGCCAATTGCGACCTAATCCTATGTTGGAAGAATCAGCTTGCAGAAGCAGAGAGAAAAATGTGAATACACTGCCAAGAAAGGTTCTATTCTCTGCCACCGGGGAGGCGGGGAGGCGGTGGCAGGGTGGGGGTGTGGGGCAAAGCAGCACCCTGAGTAAGAATCTGGGGGGTGGGAAAGGTGGAGACAGAGGGAAAGCTCTTCCTGCTTTTCTTGTTATTCAAGCGGGGGTGGGCAGCACCAGCCTTGACAAAGGCAGTGGTGGCGAAGAAACTGTGTTTTCAGGCTGGGGGAAGAGTACGGTGGGTGAGCCGCTTGCCTTGCATGTGGCTAGTTCCAGTTGATCCCCAGAAACTACAGCTGACTGCCCCAGCCACACCCCCCCAAGCATCTCCAGGAGTGAGCCCCGAGCACAGAGCCAGGAGTAGTGGCCAACTACTGTTAGGCATGGCCTCAAAACAAAACTAAACCTCCCAGACTGGAGAAGGGGTCCAGCGGGGAAGGAAGGCGCTTGCCTTGCATGCGGTAGACCCAGGCTCGCTCTCCAACACTCCATGGGGTCCCCTGAACCCATCAGGAGTAAGCTGAGTACCACTGTGTATGACACACTCTTCCAGACGAGAGATGGAACAGTGGGCAAGGCATTTGTCTTGCATACTTCCAACTGGGTTCGATCCCTGGCACTGCATAGAGCCAGGAGTCGGCCCGAGCACTGCTGTGTTTCTCTCACACGCCTCCATCAGAGCCTTCTTGTGGCTCACAGGAAGTGCAGAGCTGGGCTCAACTGGCACTGGGAACCTGGGACGAATGACTCACCCCAAAGGACGCCCTTGCCCCTCTCGATTCCCTATCCCACCCCACCCCCTGCCTTCGCTAGCAGGGCCGGATAATCTCTGGTGGCTCCAAATAACAACTTCCCAGATTTATCAATAATGAAGAGATTCCCACACGGAAAGGCCCCGGGATAGACTGCAATGATCGATTAGAGTCCACTGGTCTGGAGACAGAGATAGTGCACTGGGCAAAGGACTTGCCTTGCAGGCAGCTGACCTGAGTTTGATCCTGGCACCCC